ATTATTATAAATTACTATTATCATTATTGATTTATCATGTTGTGTAAAGACCAAAAAATTTGTCTTTTTTACTAATGTTATATGGCATAACGAAAGAAATATATTGCATTTATAAAACAATGTCTTTAAATACCTCTGTGGACTCAAAATGTCACCAGCTATTAATTATTGGGTCCAGATACCTTGTTGCCCACATGTGGCTCAAAGTCCAAGCATGTGGCTTACTTGAGTGCTGCTGGTGGTGGTGCTGCTGATGCTTGTTCTAGTGGTTGTGGTGGTGCTGGTGCTGGTCCTGGTGGTGGTGGTCCTGGTGGTGGTGATGCTGCTGCTGCATACCACTGCAGTACATAAGCCTTTCCCAATCTCTGAAAAATTTGTTATCATTTCATGCAACCTCGTTTTTGGTCTGGCTCTTGGCCTCCTTGTGTTTGTTATATCCCAGTCTGTCACTTTCTTTGTCCATCTGTCGTTGTGTCTTTGACATATATGTCCTGCCCATTGCCATTCCCAACATCAATCTTTCCATTCCCCATCGGTCACCTACCAATTTCCTTTCTATTATCTTGGCCACAGTTTCTGACCCATGTGTCATGACTGGGAGGATGCATTAATTAAAGGCTTTCCTTTTAAACTTAACGGTAAGGAGCCTCTTAACCCAATGACAGTGAGCTTATTTACGGTCCCCTTAGATTTTAGTGAGTTTTGTTACATACAGATGGCTCCATGTGATCTCAGCAGCAAGGAGTCTATCAGTTGGCCCAAGTGACTGAACTTGATTTCCCCATTCCATGAACTGCAAGGTCAGATCCGGTCGAAGGATCAGGTGGACTATGTGCAGGGTGGCCGGCGTACGGGAGAAGGTGGAGGATGTGGGAAGTGAAGAGATTATCGGCAGGAGAAAAGCCGCTGTTCAGGTTGAAATTAGGCAGCAGCTTTAGTAAGGAGGATTCCACCAGTCTGCGAGTGTGGATATATATTCTCCCGGTTATGACTTTAAACTGCATCCAGGCAGAGAGGTATATCGCGCGTGGAGTTAGATAGTCCCGCCTGACTTCTACAAACAGAGCATAAATGATCATTACTACTCGCACTGTGCCATAAAACCGAGTGGGCCCTTGGGTCATTGGGGGTTTCAGGGATAACCAGCCATGGTCTAAATAGTGAAACTGTTGACAGCAGGACAGTAGATTTCATAGCAGGAACTGCAGGCAAAGAAAGGTCCTGGGGTCTCTACTTTGTCACCACTTCAACCCCAGACTTCTCTCCATGATAGGAGTCTGGCTCAGGATAGAGCTAAAGGATGACATATATACACATATGTAATGTTCATGTTTAAATATGTATATATATGAATATATATATATATATATATATATATATATATATATATATATATATATATATATATATATATATATATATATATACACATACTATATATATATATATATATATATATCTATATATAAATATATATTATATATTATATTATATTTCTTGTCTCTCTATCTTATATATATCTCTCTCTATATCTCTTCTCTCTTATCATCTCTATTCTCTATCCCTCATCTACTCCCCTCTCTATATCTCTCTTCTCTCCTATCTCTTATCTCTTATCTCATCTTCTTCCTCTACTACCTTCTCCTCTCTCTATCATCTCTCTTTCTCTTATCTCTCTATATCTCTACCCCCCCCACTCCCCCCCCACCCCCCCCCCCCACCCCCCCCACCCACACCCCCAAACCCCCCCCACCCCCCCCCCCCCCCACCCCCCTCCACCCCCACCACCCCCCCCCCCCCCCCCCCCACCACCCACACACCCCCACACCCACCCACCACCCACATATACTATATATATCTATATATATATATATATATACATACATATATATATATATACATATATATATACACGGCGGTGGCGCAAACAGTTGTTAGCGCACCAGAACGCGGTTGATTAGGAAGGGCATTCAATCAGGCAAGGGTGACACCGCCATATAACCTCTTAATACTGAATTGAGAGAGGCCTATGTCCTGCAGTGGAATGAATGGCTGTTAGAAGAAAAAAAATATATAGGTATGAATATATCTATGCACACACACACACACACATACACATATATATAGATATACTGCCGCGATGGTCCAGTGGTTAGAGCCGAGTTGTGAGCACTGTCGTAAAATTGCCTGCGCTCCGACTACTAGCGGCGAGAAAACATATCGCCTTGAGAAGTCAAACACAGGTGTCGTAGGATAAGTCGCTGCATCCAATCGGGTAAGGGTGAGACTGCCAAATGACCTCTCAACAGTGAATTGAGAGAGGCCTATGTCCTGCAGTGGAATAAATGGCTTATAATGTTAAGCAGCAAAAATCCTCCGAAGGCACGGTGGACCAGAAATAAATTGGGGCACGTCCTGCGCTTCCCTGAGACAATCCACCACGCTCTTCCTCGCCCACTCTCCGATGTCAGACAGCCACGATCTCCTCGGTCGTCCTCTCCCTCTACTTTCATCAACACCTAAACTCAAAATAAAAGTTTAAAACTAAAAAACATAAAGCGAACTAAAGTAAAACTGAACCGTTAAGAGAAATAAAAAATCTATATTCAACATCAAAACAGGGTTTTCAAGCACAGTTATAATACAGTTCCCTCATTTTCTCTTAAAGGTTCAATTTTATCTGATTTTAGTTCTGAAACATAAGCTACACATATAATTAATGGCAGTACATATGTCATGCCTATTCGTAATTTTATGATGTAAAAAAATGAACATAAAAAGACATAGATTAAATGATTTTCACAATAAAAGTTGAGCAGATAAAATAAAGATAAATAAATAACGTTAAATGAAAGTTGCTTTTAAAGGCATATTTGTTTCTTCGTTTACAGTCAAAATTATACAGAGTTCACTCTAGAGTCGCAGGAGTTGCCAGAACGAGATCGCAAGTGGGACTCCGGCTCCGACTTTTTCATCATTTTTTTTTCCCGAAGCATTTTCATCACACAGATGCCACAAGGCAGTGCATTGTTTTGTATATATATATATATATATATATATATATATATATATATATATATATATATATATATATATACCCCCCCAATCCCTTGCCCGTTGTTGTCGTGGGGGGGCTTAGGAGGCGGAGACTCCCCAACCTTGGGACTCAGCCCTCGACTCAACTAATTATGCATGGTCTTTTTTTCCCTTCCACTTTTGTTTCTGTCCCTTCACCAAACCCTTCTGCTATCCACCTCCTAAGGTGTGAGAGCCGTGCTGAAAGGATGAAAGGCTGACTTTGTGCCAGTCCTGAACGGCCTGAGGGAGCCATGGGCACGGTATTCCCCTGATTTAGTTATCTAGCCCTTACCCCTCAAGGGGACCCTGAGGGGTGGACTGTTTTTATCCCCAACATAATCCAGGCTTACCATGGCCAGTAATGAAAATATATCCCCACTGTTAGGGGCAATGAGGCTTGCCCCTTTATCAAATAGCCCCAACGAAGTAAACCCACCCGATTCCCCGACCCCAGGCTCTCCTTTGACCACGGCTCCGAACACTGCAATAACTACCCCTTCACCAATGCCTACTAGTACAGTAGCCAACAATCAACCCTCAAGGAACATTTCCACTCTCCCAGCATGCCCAACCTCAACACCTCTACCCCCACAACCTCCAACATCAACCACCCCATCCTCCCATATTAATACCTTACAGCCTTATAGCCCACCTCTCCATAACACTACCTCCCTCAACACTACTCCATCTTCGTCACGCCCTCGCCCTTCTACCACCCCTATCTCTAAAACAATCTTGAATACTCTCTTCAGTGCAGCCAAATGGGACCGATTTTTCGTGATCCCTCCCACAGCTCCCTACTCTGACAACACCCTTCTCTTCCAACAATGCCTCCAAAAACAAGTAGGTAAAGTCTCTTTCCGTAGCCGACCCGACCGCTCCCGTCTTGTCACAGTAACATCCGAAAATCAAGCTATAGCATTAAAACTAACTGACCTATATGGTAACCCCATCTTAGCAGAACCCCATCCAACCCTCAATACTTGCACCGGAACAGTCTCAATCTCCCCAGCAAATTGCCCAATCTATGACAAAGATTGGTCAGATTGTAGAGAAGATCTACTTGCCTGTCTCACAGACTACGATGCAACATCAGTACAATGCTACTCCATCCCCCCCAGAGGTCATCGAAAGAAACCCACTAACATAGCCAAAATTACCTTCCGTAGACACGACCTTCCCTTTAACGTCTACATAGGAGGAGAATCCCTCCCTGTTCGTCCATACCAACCTCCTCCACGTCAATGCCAAAATTGTTGGCGTCTAGGACACCCAGCCAAACATTGCCGTTCCACAGCCAGATGCCCATTATGTGCCCAACCTGGCCATACCCGATCTAACTGCTCTGCACAATCACGCACATGTGCCAAATGTGCGGCCCCCATAATGTATTTTATAGGGGCTGTCCCACCTACAAATTTGAATCTGAGGTAGCAACTCTCAGATTCAAACTTGGACTCACACTGCGTGAAGCCAGACAGGAAGCACGTCGACGTGGATTCTCTCTTACTCCTTACTCCAGTAATACTGCTCATTCTAACACTTCTCCTAAACCCACCCCTCCTACATCTAACCCCCCCACTTCTACCTCCTACCTTCCCCAGTCAAACTCTTTTGCCATCCTAAATCCAGAAACTCCAATCTCTACTACAGATACTCCAATCACCACTACAACCCCAACACCTTCCCCTCTCCCTCCTCGCACTCCCCGTAACAGACAGAACAAACGTTCCACCCCCTCTTCCCCTACCACACAATCACCTCCACCATCCTTTGCCCCTACTCTTGAGACACCAGTCCTCTCTTCCCCCCCTCACAAGAAATCCTTTATCCCCCACAACTCCCCAACCAACTCCTCAGAAGAAACTATTGAAAATATTCAAGATTACTTAATGCAAACTGACACTCAACCTACAACCCCTGCTCCTTCCACACTCCAAGTAACTGCTGATATCCATCCCCCTCCTAACGATATCCCCCTACACCCTATCCTCCTACCCCCTCCCAACACAGCCCATCCCCCCTGACCC